AAGGGGAATGTTAACTAGATATGATCAGAAAACAGTCATTATTAGCCATATTTTTGATGGGTGAATGTAAGCCGGGTGTTCATTCCAACACGCCACAAATCACTGCAACTGTCTTCTATTAATTTATGAATACTTTTTCAGTTTCTTTTCCTCAGTTAACTAAAAGACAGTTAACCGAGGAAAAGAAACTGAAAAAGTATTCATAAATACCAGAAATAAGCCATCATATTTTCTGATTCTTGCTGGCGTTATTAAGCCTCTCTTTTTTATGCGTTTAAGACTTCTTTTTTTAAAGAATGTTAGAGCAGTTTAGACAAGAATTCCAGCTGATATATTATTAGAATGCAGCAAAGCATTAAATTGAAACACTCTTCCAGAATTCTTTTTTTAAAAAAATGCTAATTTAAACTTTTACATGCGCCGTCATCTGATCCCAAATGCTTGCTTTACGGTATTAAGGCAAACTTGACAGCAACTTCTGCATTATCCCCCCATTTTAAGACAGCAAGGCAGGCTGCACAATTCTGATAAAGCATGAAGTGACACACTGGAAACATTCTGAATAATTTAACGCCAACACCACTGGCAGTTCTTTCGTAGGGGATTTTGTAGGACCCGATCACCTGAACGTCAGATATAACAGGATTTTAATCCATAATGCATTAAGATTTGGGGACACCACTGAATACTTAGAGCAGTGGTTCTCAACCTGTGGGTCGGGACCCCATTTGGGGTCGATCGACCATTTCATGGGGGTCACCAAGCAAGGCTGTCCGCCATTTTTTTTGTCCGCCATTTTTTTTGTCCGCCATTTTTCCCCCCTTTTCCAGTGGGTGCCTTACCTCCCTTGGGCTGGGCCAGCTGGTGGTCAGCCTGCTCCGTCTCTGCCGCTTGCCAGCTATGCCTCGGCCGGCGCAGGGGGCGGAACCACACATGCGCGGCACTCCCGGATAGGGAAAGTCCTCGACTTACGACCGGTTGGGTAGTCCTCGACTTACGACCAGTTTAGTCCTCGACTTACAACCGGTTTAGTCCTCGACTTACGACCGGTTTAGTCCTCGACTTACGACCGGTTGGGGTCGCGGCATTAAAAAGGTTGAGAACCACTGACTTAGAGGAAATGATATATTTGTATACTTCATAGCTATTTTTTTAAATAAAAAAATATGGTTCCCCCCCCCCCAAAAAATAGAAAATAAACCTCCACGGAATAGACATATTGATATATTTAATACGTTTCAAGATATTCGATATTCAAAGAAGTTATAGGAGAGCCTGCAATTTGGTGGGTATTTTTTTTCTCCAGATAAGCATAGAGAGAATTATTTCAGAGGGCTTTTATTCTGAATCTATGACCCCCTGTTTCAAAAGACAGGCAAAGCCAGAACATGTGGGCCACGTACTGGGATCATGCTGCTTGTAAAGTACATAATCTCTGAATAAATAAGTCACCGCATTAAGCTTAAAAGTGCGTACGTGCTCTATTCCGGAAGACAATCCACAAGATGGCACGCATGATCCCATTAAAAAAAGTTAGAAACACATTACAACGGCTTAAGACATCCAAGAAGCCCGGGTGTTTGGATGGGCTTAGAGAAGACAATTACGCAGTCTTATTTGCTTCCCCGCCTGATTTCTCTCTTCGTCTTATTCCTTCCACCACTCTTCATTCCACTCATGGACTTCCACGTATTAGAAACCGTTCCTCTTTGCCTTGTCGGCAAGGATTAATGCAGAGCAGATAAGCAGGCCCATTTTTTCCTGGTGTCAAACTGCTGGAACAGCAGATAAGCCATTTGGGGACAGGCTTTCTATCACAACTTTGCATTAACTGAGACTGCCAGCCAGTCTCCCATCCTTTTACTGTTTGCATTTATCACACTCCTATTTTACTTTATTTTTTTACCCTAACCTGTTAGGCGCGAGAAACCAGGAACCAGGATAGCGTTCAAAAGCACTACGAGTTTATCCCATACACAAGAATCTGATCCAGTAGTGGTCAAAGCAAATTGGCGCCACGTAAGAGTCAATGGGCTTGGGGGAGGGGGAGCTGGACTAAGGTGTCAATGCTGCAAATACTGTATATTCTTGCTTTGACAATATGCAGAACTGTCTGGTATTTTTATAGTTAAACCAGGCAACAGGGAAAAAGGGAGGAGAATAAGGATAGCCCCGGAAAAAGAAACCGGAAGTAAATCACATCTTCCAAGTTAATTGGAAGATGTGAACCATGACCCCAAAATAAGGGAGGGGAAAATGCTTAGAATGTATATGTGTAACAGAAAAGAAGCCAGATCTAAGCATTTCCACCATGCTGTACTGACGTCTCTGTAACCTTAATAAATGCTTTTAGGAAAAAATATGCCTGAAAGTCCTTTTAAGTGTTTCGTTAATCAGACACATGACATAAGGTTTCTTTTGGAGGTGCAGTGACTCCCAACTGCTGATGTGTTTGACCCCGCCCTCGGGCTCAGCCTGGTCATCTCAGACATCTAAAAACAGATTCCCCCTTTCTGCACTTTGGGATGCCTGCCCCAAACGCTTCCCCAGATACCTCTCCGGATGTCAGCTTGGAGGAAGAAGAAACAGTTCTAGGCACATCTGGAGGGGAGTTGGTCAATGGCTCTGAGCAGCCATCTGAGGGGGTTTTGGCTGAAGCACAGCTGCAGCAGGGCAGCCCTGAGGCTTCAGCTGGGGAAAACACACAACTGCAGCCTGTCAGTGACAAGGAAGAGGAACTGCCTTCTGCACCTGATTCAAGAACAGGTAGGACAGAGAAAAGGCAGGCGCAGAGGAGGTCAGCCCGATTACTTGAGAGGAGGCAGCCTCGCCCTTCTTGATGGGCTGCACCAGAAGCAGCCTCTTTAGCACAGCGGACAAATGGAGACGATGCTGGGAACGATGTATTCATTTCCTAGCTGCGTCTTTCTTGGTAGCTGTGATTCCTGCCTTGCTTTGGATCGACACCGTGCCTTGACCTGGATCGTGCCTTGTGAAATCTGGACTTTCCTGGCCCCGTGAACCCTCTCGTGTCGTAGATTTAATTTTGCCTGGTGGGTTTACCTCGTTTGGGAAACTTTCAAGTGCCTTGTGGACTCGTTGGCCGTTGAGCTGTGGACTAGCATTGGTTTGCTTTTGGCTGAACTTAATTGGGACAGTTCTGCGGTTTTGGTGAAGGGAATGGCTGGGGAATATTAATGAACCCACTAAACCAGGGCTTTTCAACCAGTGGTACGGGGACCACCTGTGGTACATTGGCACCTGGCAGGTGGTACGCGACCATCCTAGAAAAGTGGTAGCGGGGGAGGGGAATGAACTGAACCGGTGGTAGCACCGCACAAGCCTGAGCGAGAGACAGCTGGAGATGCAGGGCTGTCAGGGCTCAGCGGAAGCGCCAGGATCAGCACTTCTTCGGGGCTATCAGAACTCAGTGGAAGTGCCAGGATCAGCACCAGGCTCCAGCTGGAGCTCGGTGCTGATCCTGACGCTTCTGCTGAGCCCAGAAGAAGCGCCGATCAGCTGGAATGTTGCCGCATCTCCAGGGTCTTGTGATTTACATTCAGATGCTTGGCAACTGAGTCATATTTATGGCGGTCACAGTGTCCCAGGGTCATGTGAAGTGACCAAAACCTGCTGCAACCACCCAGCAGACGGGGGGAATAAAAACAAAAAACCCCCACCCCACCCCCACTGCCAATCCTCAACAGAAATGCTCACAACAATGAAAACCTCGGACAGGAGGAAGAGTGCGGCAGGCAGGCAGGGGTCTTGCTTGGCTGTGGCTTGGGGGGCACTTTTTTCAGTGCATTGTAACTTCGAACAGTCACTAAGCGAACTGTTGTAAGTCGAGGACTACCTGTACTTTATCACTTTACCCCTCTTTTTTTGGTCAAGTTTTTGACACCTTGCTAGGCGACTGGTGGTACTCGGATGTTGCCATATCCTAGAAGTGGTACAATGGGTGAAAAGGTTGAAAATCCCTGGTTTAAGGTGTTGGTTATGATCTTTAAAGCCTTCCATGTCATAAGTCCAGATTATTTGATGAACCATCTCGTTTCGTTAGGACAGTGGCTCTCAGCCTTTTCTATACCCTGCACCCCTAGAATTTTTCTGATATACTTTTTTCAGTGCCATTGTAACTTTGAACAGTCACTAAGTGAATTGTTGTAAGTCGAGGACTACCTGTACTTTTATCACTTTTTTCCTTTTGGGGGGGGGTCAAGTTTTTGACACCTTGCTAGGCGACTGGTGGTACTCGGATGTTGCCATATCCTAAAAGTGGTACAATGGGTGAAAAGGTTGAAAAGCCCTGCACTAAACCACTATTGCGTGTGTGTGAGAGAGCAGGACAGCACACACTTTCACCCAAACGCTCCCACAGAGC